GTTTGTGCATGATATGATCATTATACCTTTTTCTAATCCACTCTCAATTGTTGTTTTTACTATTGTTGTTGGCGTTGCCTTTAAATTTTGAACCAAGAAATGAATAAATGAGTGGACAGTATACGAGTTTGTTCACTTAGTATTTTTAGGTGGATATATACCCACATTAATATAATATATAAAATATATATTTACTTACTCATAAAAAGTCAACAATTCAATACTAAATATTACTCCATCTGACCTGGATAAGTTGTCCACGTTATTGTAGGTACGAAAATTTAGATAAAGTATAATTAGTAAATAATTAATAAGTGTATTCGTAAAAATATGGTATAATAAAAATAATTATAGATTAAAAGTAAGATAACTAAATAACTTAATTAAAATTAAAAAAATTATAGATTATAAAATTTAAAATGTGATTAAAATATATAATTATAATTCAAAAAAGAAAAAATAAATTATGTGGAACGGACGAAAATAAAAAATGTGAACAATTTATGTGGGACGAGAGAAGTAGTTTTTATATATTTTATTATTGTAGTAGTGTGTTTACTTTCCTTTATATACAATATTTTATTACTTATTCCGGCAGCCAAAGTTATACATGTACTCTTTTCTTTTCTTTTTTTACTTACTCATGAAAAGTCAACAATTTAACAGTAAATATTACTCCCTCTGTTCTGGATAAATTGTCCACGTTATTGTAGATTTGTGAATTTACATAAAGTATAATTAGTAAATAATTAAAAAGTATAAAAGTAAAAATATGGTATAATAAAAATAAATATAGATTAAAATTAAGATAACTAAATAACTTAATTAAAATTAAAACAAAATTATAAATTATAAAATTTAAAATGCGATTAAAATGTATAATTATATTTCAAAAAAAAAACAAATTATACGGGACGGACGAAAATAAAAAATATGAACAATTTATGTGGGATGAGAGAAGTAGTTTTTGTATATTTAATTATTGAAGTATTGTGTTTACTTTCTTTTATATACAATATTTTATTACTTCTTCCGGCAGCCAAAGTTATACATGTATTCCTTTTCTTTTCTTTTTTATGCATACTCTAGTTGTAGTAAATCACTTTATATACCCATAATTTTATTATTCATATTTAAATAAATAATAATAATTTTTTTTGTATTTATTTTACTTATCCACTACTTTTTTATCTAGCATTTTCATAAATTTCATATAATACGACATTATAATACTCTTACTTAAATTTTCCAAATGCAAGGAGTTAATTTGTTCTTTTATAATTTTGAATTCAAATCAATATTATTTCCTCTAACAAAACATTTAATCAAAATACTATTTAAATAACATATAATATATAACCACTATACCATTTCAAAATTTTCCAAAATTAAAAAATTCACAAAAATACAAAGAGCTTACAATTAAAAAGGAAACTTATGGGATATAGATTGGAGATTATTCATTCTATTTAAGACTAGGGCTTTCTGCTAGTTGGGGAATTATACATATTAATTTGTTCATACTTTGGGAGATTGGGTAAAGAGTTCTTTTTCATTACGTAATTGAAGTTTGTTTTAAAATAGCAGTAGAAATTTTTTACACATTTAGTCCTTCAGTGCCGGAGAAGAAGGCATTTATCCGTAGCTAGAACATAAAAATTATTCACGTGCCTGCCAGGTGGGGCTAACGGCTGACCTGGCGAACATGATCTTCCGGATGCCACGCAAGTACTATCCAGACATCTTCAGCGCCAGATGACTAAATATGCAAAATATATTTTCACTTATGTGACTATTTTAATACAACTTTTAATTACGAGAATAAAATAATAAAATGTCCAATTATGAGACTAAAATAACAGTTTAACCAGACTTGCCCATTCGGTTTGGAACCGCCGGTTCGAATAGTCGGTTTGCCGGTTTTTGAACTGGCGGTTATGGTTCGGGCACAAACCGAACCGAAACCGTCGTTTCGACGGTTCGGTTTCAATTTGTGATTTAGTCAAACCGTGAACCGCTGGTTTACGGTTTGAACCGACGGTTCCACTATTTTTATTTTATTTCTTTTTGTTTTTTTTTTAATCTTACAGGCTACAGCATGGCACAACGCAGAGGAGAAAAAAAGAAGGAAAGTAAAATAATGGGGAAGAAGAAAGACCTGGTACGGGATGCGGCACTGGGGTGGCTGTGGAGTCTGGCTCTGGATGTGTAAATTACACATTAGAACAAAATGTATTAATTATATTTATAGTTAATTTTGTTTATAAATTATTGAATTTTATAAAAATAAAAATAAAATAATATTAATATTGATAAAAATAAATAATTATTGATGATATAGAAAAACTAATAATATACTACTATTTTAAATAATATTATTATTTTTTATATTTATATTTTAAATTTTATAATTTTTTTATTATATAATTATATTTAATTTAAACTATTTTATTATCTAATACATTAATATTTTTATAATATATTTTTATTTATTTTAATTCAAAAATTAATTTAATTATTTACTAAATTTATTATTCTTATAATGTAACAATCTAATCAGTTATTATTTATATAATTTTTATGCAATAAATAAATATCTGAATAAAATTAAAAATTAAAATTAATTATTGTTAAATAAGATTTAAATTGAAAAATTAGAAAATAGAAAGAAAATTATTAAAAATAATATATATAAACCGGCGGTTTTTAAACTGAAACTGGCGGTTTAGAAACCGTAATCAGAACCGTCAAACCGTAATCAAAACTGTCATTTGGAAAGTTCAGTTTCGGTTTGAAATTTTGAAAAACCGTAGTCGGCGGTTTGTAACCGTACCAACGGTTTGAACCGTTTGAGCACGTCTAAGTTTAACCTTGGGAGATTTTTGTGGTATATATATTCTATTAAGTTTTTCGAATATTCTATATATTTTGCTGATTTAAAAGATTTTCGACGAAATTGATGAAAAATGAAAGATAAAGAAAAAAGCTGGACAACAAAGCATACATGAGGTAGTCGTGGCTGTGGCTGGGTTGAATAATTCTTAAGTTCTTGTGAAATTGTGCATCTAATTTTATATTGTTCTTTATAGGTAGTAGCTATTCAAATTTGATTTTTCGAATTCTAATACAATTGGACAATTAAGTTTCTATACTTGTACCTAAACTTGTTAGCCTGATTAAAACCAATTAATGATCATACTTTTATTCTTGACATTATAAAGGAAAATTCATATCTACGACTAGTTTAAGGATGATTATAAAAATTAATTTAATTAAATCAATAATCAAATGCATTCTCATTCCAAAAATCATTTCAAGATGTTACATACATAGATAAATTTTATTCATGTCAATTACGATTATAATTCATAGAACTCATTTACTTATTTTAGTAAATCCCTATATTGTTTAATTAACTCAATAAGAATAATAAAAAAAAAAAAACACCGCCATTATTCGCCGTGTGACCAGTCACTTCATTTATTAGGAGTTTGATTTCAATTTTATATACTCCTTTCGTCCAGGAAATAAGTAAACAATTACTTTTTGCACGGTTATTAAGGAATATTGTATTTTAATGATAGTTGGTGATTGTTTTTGATGTAATGATCTATATACCCTTGTGTACTAATTTTTCTCTCTTCATGTACTAATTAAATTAAGCAACACAAATAAAGTCCAATATTAACAATTAAAAAACACAAAGTAAAATACAGGTACACTGATTTTGCAAAATTATACCTAAAATAATTTTGTCACATTAAACCACTACAGATGAAATTTTCAAATTACAAACAAATTAAACAACAAACCACAATGTAATTACATTTCATATCTGATCAATTACAAAGTCAGTGGTCGGGATAAAAATCACCCGAAATCAACACAAAAAACAACTTGCAGTGAGAAGGAGAAATCAGTAGACGTCGCGATTAATTACAGTAACGTAAACATCAATAGGCATCGTGAAAAATCAGTGGGTTAAGAGGATGAAATCTGCAATACTTAAACATGAAATAAAATTACCAAAATTGCAAAATTTTGCAATTACTTGCAAAATTTTGCAACCATGAAACACCATGAACACTATCAGATTTCCCTCCAAAAATTTCAGACAATCATAACCAAGTCACATCATTTTTCTTCCTCTAATGAAAATACAATTTCCCTCCAGAATGAAAGTAATTTTCTCACTTAAACACCATTATAAGTAGTTCATATGCACCATCAATACACATATTTTGTTCCAATGGCTGAAAACATACGAAAGTCAAATTTAAGCACTGAATCTCTAAGCAGCATTGCTCAATTTCTGCTGTAAGGTTCAACGACTGGAAACCAACGTATGGCAAATTCACTTAAGCAAGTTTCAAGTTTGGTGTTACAAGAAAGGTGATTCATAGAGTATGGAAGAAAGCTCAAGAACAGTTGCAATCAGGTCAGGCTATTTCTTTGTGTAGTAAGAAAATAGCCCTATGTCATGTTAAAAAGAAGCCATTTGATAAAGCCACTTTGCAAAATATTCATGTACACAAAAGAGAGACTTATAGAAATATAGCAAAATGGATGCATGTAAGTAAGAGTCTTGTGGGTACTGGGCAAAGACAGGACTTATCAGGCCACACACCAATGCTATCAAGCCTTCTTTAAGTGAGAAGAACAAGATAGAGAGGTTGAAGTTTGGCCTCAAATCATTGGAAATTAACAATGAGTTGAAAGTAATCCAATTTAAAAGCATGTCACAAATTGTGCATATAGATGAAAAATGGTTCAATCTCACAAAGGAGACCGAGAGGTACTACCTAACACCGGATGAGACAGAGCCATATCGGTCCTATCAAAATAAAAGATTCATCACCAAAGTAATGTTTTTATGTGCAGTTGCTAGACCTGCGTATTATCCGAGTGGAGAATGCTTATTTGACGGTAAAATAGGCATTTTTCCTTTTACTGAAAAAGTTCCAACCCTAAGAAAATCAAAAAACAGGGCAGCTGGAACAATGGTTACTAAACCATTGGAATCCATCACTAAGGAAGTCACCAAGGAGCTTCTAATTAATAAGGTATGTTATTACACCTTGTATTAATAAGACTCAACTTCCTTAGCCCTCAGAAACATATCATCATTGGGTTAATTATCACAGGTATAAGTCTCCTAAATAAGAATTACAAAAATAATCCTCATTGGTGATGTTATTACAGGTGATCCCAACAATAAAGGAAAAATGGCCTGTCGACAGGGATAAAAACATTATCATTCAGCAAGACAATGCAAAGCCTCACATCAATAACGATGATCCTGAGTTCAGACAAGCAGCAAACAGTGATGGATTCAACATAAGTTTGGTCTTTCAACCACCAAACAGCCCTGACACAAATGTAAATGATTTGGGATGGTTCCGGGCATTGCAATCTTTACAAATTACCATACTAGGTACCACAGTGGATGATCTGCTTGAAGCAGTTCATAAATCATTTCAAGAGCTCTCACACACCACTTTAGATTCAGTTTTTCTAAGTTTGCAAGCATATCTTGGTGAAATAATAGCCAATCTTGGCTCAAACAATTACAAGATCCCTCATATAGGGAAAAACTCTTTAAGGAGGTCAGGGGATCTCCCAAAAGACCTACAAGTGGACCATGAAATGATCAAGATATCTATTGATCATTTGATGGATGCAAATGAAGTCGAAGACTTGGAAGAATTTATAACCTCTCTTGAGGAACTTTAGAAGATGAGACTTTTTAGTGTGGTAGGAACAACTTTTCAGTATAGTAAAAAGGACTTTGAGTATGTAAAAATTATGTTTATTGCTATAAAACACCTCAACTTACAGAGGATGTTTAAGCAATAAACACAAGTCAATTGCATAGGTTAGGGCCATGAAAGTCTACAATTTTCACACTTTTTGTATCACATAATATGTTTTTGGTTCAATTGACAATATATAAGAATGTCAAAACAATGTTTGTCATCATAGAGTGTTGTCAACTCACTCTCAGAAGTATATTTAAACTACTCTCTCCGATAAAAATCTTCATTGAGTAGGGGCAGTGTGTGTACAAATTTGAAGCACATGCGGTTGCATTACGTATTCAGTAAGCCTCCATGAACAATATGCATTACTCACACACTAAGGGAAGTGACATTACACTATGAAATTATAATCAGCATTGAGTAAGTCATGTGTGTATCAATTGTAATGCACATGTGGTTGCATTACTTAACAGTAAGCCTCCAAACAATATGCATTACTCACACATCACAGAACCTAGATTACACAGAAAAAAACGTTTAGAAAATTTTTATTTCAACCCGCAAAATGTAATTTTCCCCTTCAAACTCCGATAAATAAAACAACGTAATGTATACCTTAGAGAACTCGGGCAATGACATGGAAAGAGGACAGTAAATTCTCAAGAACTCAAGGACAACCTCACGGACAACAGCAGAGTGACCTCCGGCAAGGGAGTCTCCACCATCCATCCCTTTTAGGGTTTATGCCCACCGGCGCAATAGCGGTAGATTCATCATCGGAATCCGGCACAGCCATCCCGTAAAGAATGTTAGGAGATTCCGGCACCTTGGATAAGAGTAAATGCGAAGCTACAAAAAGAAATGGTTTACAAAAACTTAATCAAGATGAAAAATAAGATCCCGAACGTAATCAAAATGAAAATATAAGATGAAAATAAAAGTTAATCACCAGAGCCTGGCGCATACTCGCCGTCAAAGGTCCCGAAAGTCTCCGAAACCACAGATCTATGAAGATCTGAATCTATATCATCGGAATCAGGCACGAACTCACCCTCGAAAGTCAGAGAGGTCTCCGGAACAACGGATATATAAAGATTTGAATTAGACAGTGGTATCCCTTCGACGCCGTAGGAAGCTCTCAAACCCGAATTCGACGCTGTAAAGGGCACAACGATACCAGGAACTTCGCCACTGTGCTTAACTCCGGCACCATTGGCACCATTACTGGCCATTGACGCAATCGATGGTGAAGAGAGAACAAATCGCGAAGAGATCGAAGAGTGAGAGAAACCCTAACAACGTCGAAGAGAGAGGATGAACCTATCTGAGAAAGGGTGAGTTTGTTTGGTTCGTGTTTAATTTAGTGTGATTTAATTTAGTTTTGTATGTGTGTAATTGTGTATAAATGTTTAATGATTTAATTAATGTGTAATTTGTGTATTAAGTTAAATACTGTATATGTATTTAATGTAGTGGCATTGATGTAAATTTGTATTGATATAGGGGTATTTGTAAATTGAAGTGTGGGCCATAGTTACTATATAAGGAAATGGGTAATTTGTGTTTGGACGTAAAAAAATGGTAAAATGCTTACTTTGTGGCTGGACGGAGGGAGTACAATTTTTGAAGTTTTTTAAAAAATATATACTATTTTTATCATTGAAATTTGTTTCCATTCTCTTTGTAATTTACAAAGGAATTGAGAACAAGTTTTGACGACAGAAATAGTAATTTTTAATTTAAAATACCATATCAACATTTATATTTAAATTTTAAAATAAATCCGAAGTAAAAAAATCTCAGATGATAGAAGAATAAAGAATAACAACCTAAAACCTAAAAGAAACCACCAAGTAGCGGGTGAATGTTTTGTAATCGTTTTCACTCTACAATATGAACATTATTTTATTTTATAATGATAGAGTGAATTAAGTAAAAAATAAAATGAGAGTATTATAAAAAATTTATGAAACTGTTAGATAAAAAAAGCAATGGGTGAGTAGAAAAAATATGAAAAATTTATTATTATTTATTAAAAAATGAGTAATAAAAATGTAGGTAGATAAAGTGATTTACTACAAATAGAGTGTGCATAATAAAAAAAAATAAAAAAAAGAAAATATGTATAATTTGGCTGACTGATGAAATAATAAAATATTGTATATAAAAGAAAGTAAACACACAATTTCAATAATTAATTATATAAAAACATATTTAGTGTTGAATTATTTAGTTTTTACGAGTGAGTAATATATACTATATATATTTTATTAATGTGTGTATATTATATTTTTTTAAATACTATTTATGAGGAATCGTTCCACCTAAAAATATAAAGTGAACAAACTCGTATACCGTCCACTCATTTATTCATTTCTTGGTTGAAAATTTAAAGGCAACAACAACAACAACAGTAAAAACAACAATTGAGAGTGGACTAGAAAGGGTATTATGATCATATCATGCACAAACGTGAGGATTGGCAACAAGGTACTCTGCAATGGCCGCATAAAAAGCAGATGACTTCTCTACGTGCGTTTTAATGTCCTCATCGCTTGGCACAGTGTCGCCCTTTGCAATATAGTTACTATTGAACTTGATCACACACCCTCCATCACCCGAGGGTTCGGTTACGACCTCATGGTGAACTTTTTCAAACTTGTCGCCGATTCTGTCTCCTTCGAGCTCCGTATACTTGATATAGCACTTCCCAGTGTCAATGTCATCAACTTTGAACTTGAAGTTGGGAGCTGATAGATCGATGAATTAATGTATTGTGTCTAGCCAAAATATGCTTAACCAACAAACAAATAAGGATAATTGAACAAAAACAAAATTATCAATTGAATTTATTTATAGTTTTTTACCCAACAAAAAAGGCTTACAAAGCAAAATTTTAGGTATTTATAAGGTCGGAAAGCTAACTCATAAAATATACCCAAAATAAGAATAATTACAAAAATTTATAAAAATAAAATAAATAAATCCGTGAAAGTAGAAAAATATTAATTTGAAGCCTTTGATGGTCCCGTTTACAGTGAACCATATAATTTTTTTCAATTTTCAGTATAAATACAAAAAGATTAATTAAAAATAATAAATAAGAGAAAATTGACAAGATTTTATAATAGTTAATTTTTTCGAAGTGACAGTAGAATTTTGAAAATAGTAATTTTTTTATCGTTATATATAATTGAACTTCTAATTATTCCTTTTGAGTATATGATATCGAAAAATTGTTACTGGTAGCAAGAAATATGTTGAAAATTGGAAGAATTAAATGTTTTTTAAATTAAATTAAAAAAACATAAATCAATATGATAAATAGTGTGATTAAATCATAATCTTATCAATTAGCATGTCTTTCATAATTGGAAAGGGGATAAGGAAATTTTAACTAAGTACACAGATTGGATTATTAAAATAAATAATAATCAAAAATGATAATCAAACATATAATAGTAAGGTGAGAAATGAAATACGGTGACTTAGAAAAGATCTGAATAATGTAAAATTAAACAACAAAAATAATAATCAAACTTATGCACGGTATCAAAACACGATTTTTCATATTTTTTTAAAAAAGAATTTACCACCAACGACGGCTCTCTCAACAACGCAACCAGGTCCAAAAGAACCTCCCTCGATAACCTTGGAACCCTTGAAGACACCCGGCGCAACCTTCGGGAGGACATCATCGGCATCAGTGGTCACGGCCTTGAAGATCCTAGATGGAGAAACCTTAAGTTTAAGTTCGTGCAAGAAATTCTTGACACCCATAGCTTAATTTTTCCGATTTTTTAGGATTTGGCAAGAAAGAACACGAGGTATGGAATGTGTATTCAATGTGCAAGAAAAATAGAATGCTGATGGTAATATTTATAGGCAAAGATTTGAACTTATCAAAAGTTTCCACAGCTAAGGTTGCCTCTATCCTCTGCATTTTTATTTTATTATTTTTTAAAATATAAATAATCATGAATTAAATATAACTATTGAAAATTTACTATTTTTAAAATCTTATTTTTATTTTGAAAAGCCAAACATTGCTGACCTTTTTTTTGTGTTCATATTCAAAATTGAACTAAATTTGTAAGATTCATTCAAACTGGTCTAACAAGCCAAAGTCATTGCTTCGTTACGATGTATAGAGTTGTTTAGGGTGGGTTTTTTTTACTATCAGCTTTTTTTTTCTTTTTTTTTTTTTTTTTTTATAGCGTGTATTTTTTGTCTTTACTGTAAAAAATTTAAAAAGTGATTAAAAATAGTTAAACATGAAAAAAAGAAATAGACCTATTATTTTGTATGACAGTGAACTAACAAAAGTAACTATTTTTTTTATTATTTATATTTAGTGTTTAAGTCTTTGGACTCTGTAAATACTTAGTTTTTTGTTTAGGTAATATATAGTTTTGCTTAAGAAGAAAAAAATTCAATCCAACAATCACTCTCTTATTCTATTATTCTTTTCCTATTGACATCATTCTTCTTCTTTTTCTTTTTCTTCTTCAAAATATTATTATCTTTGTCATGACTTAATTTTTTTGATTTTTTTTCTGAGTCTAACTGCAACTTTGACGAGAAATATTGATTGTTTGACTTATTTGTAAAAAAATTCTATGTAAATATTATAATATATTTGAACGTCTCAGCTAATATGGAGGAGAACATATAGTCAATTATATTTATCATTCAAATTTATATAGTCAATTATATTTATCATTCAAATTTATGTCATCTACTTCCTTTTAAATTATAAAAAATAAAATAATAATAATAATAATAATTTTAATCTATTTTTGTTAAAATTCGTGTCCGATCAAATAAACATAAGTTTCCACGGATGTAGTATTAAATTAGCATAATAGTAATAGTTGGGATAATTTTATGTGCAATTAGGAATTATTATATTTTAGTATTCAACTTTTTCTTTAATTATGTGATTTAATAATACTCCGTCCGTCTCACCTACCATGTGACAACATTGACGTTTTCGTCCGTCCCACATTCCATGTCACTTTTCTTTTTTGAAAAATGATTATACATTTTAATCTTATTTTACATTTTCTAATTTTAAAATTTTAATTAAATTAATTAGTTATCTTAATCTTAATTTTAATCTATAAATATTTGTATTATATACATTCTTAATTATCTAGTAATTATACTTATTGTAAATTCTCGTGTTTACAGTGACCCAGACATCCAATATGGGATGGAGGGAGTATTTTTGTATGATTTTAATAAAATAAATTATTGGTTTTTAAATTTGTTTGATATTGAGTCTAGTTTAAATTCTAATTTGAATATGGAATTTGTTTTAAAATATATATATATTTATAAGAAATCATAAATCATAAAAGAAAAATTAAAAAAGAACAAGTCTCGTATTATCCTACAAAATTCATCAATCGCAATCAGGGGGGTCGCCAATTGGGTCAGCAACAATGCTCGATGAGGTCAAACTCGGAGAAATCGATCTATTAATTTGACCATGCCGTTTAAAACAAAAATGATATTAATTGCAGAGTGAAAACGATTTTTTTTTATGTGATATTTCATAGAGTTACATTATGCATAAAATTGAAAACAAATTCCAAATAAATAGAAGTTTTGTTCACTCAATTTTTTTAGTGATACAATTTTCGATTAATGTTATTAAAAAAATATTCTTTGTATATATATTCACACAATATTATATATAATATTTATATATAATTGTTTCACAAAAAAATCAAAATTCAATATAAAACAGCATTTTTTTTATATATATTATTGACATAATTCTCCATAACTAATATTGAAAAAGATATTAATTTAAAAATACAAAGTGAACACACATTCTATCGGCCACTCCATCCACGACCAAATCAAATGAATAAAGGGAAAGTTTTTAATTGACTTGACTAAGAATTGACTAAAACAATTTAAATGAAGAATTTTAGTCTAAGAAATTATTTTTAGACTAGGACCTGCAATTTGATCGAGCATTGATTTAATTAAACCAATTCTTATAATCATCAATATTAAACCGAGATAATCCAGAAGTAATGACTTAGTGGTTTGTGTACTCATGATCCGCGATCGTGAGGTTATGTGTTGCCTTGTCTTGCCTACTTATCCATAGCATACTCAAAAAGAAAATTTCAAATACCAAACCTAATCAATTAGATAAATCATCTACTCAATATTCATAAAAATGTAGAAGGATTATTTTTTAAGATAACATAATATATTTTTTCTATATAAAATTGTAAAAAAATATCCTAATAATGCAAATATTACAAGTTGTTTTTGGCTCTTTTTTATTATTAAATTTTTACAATTTTATATAGAAAAAATCGCATGCAGAGGAGTCATCTAC